TTATAAGACACTTGATTGATTATTATATTATCTTTATCATTTTACCTCAATTAAATGTTAAAAGATTATTAAATGTTAGAATACCTTGTTTTATAATATATGTATTTCATAGAGATAAAGTAAAAAAATTATTAAATTTTAATATAAAGTTAATGAAGTTTAAATTTTTTTTTAAATTTTGATAAAAATATTAAAAATAATTTATAAATATGAGGGTGGATAGTAATTGTACATTAACTATCCTTTTCAATTAAAATATTTTAATTGTAATTTTAAATTTTTCAAAAGAAAATGATAATGATGATGATGATGATAATAACAATAATAAAGAACAGTGACAAACAAATTTGTCTTGCTCCGTGCCGACGTTTTCCCGTGAACCTCTTCGTGCTTCCTTCACGTGACTACTTTCTTTTTCCCTTTCATTTTCTTAAGTCATTTCCTTTCCATTTTTTAAATAATAACTATAATTATGAATTAAACATACTTTAATGGATGGGTTGATTTGTTAATAGAGTTACTTTTTAATATTTTATTTTGTATTGGTATTGCTGATTTTTTGCCAAAAATTTTCATAGTATAGAGAGACATGTTCATACAATTTGATTCCATGATAACGGGCTCATTTATTTTAACTTATTTTACAAAAAAATTACTTATTTTTTGAAAAAAATTATTTTATGAGTTTTTATAATGTTTATTTAAATTTTTAAAAATAATCAAATCTGAAAAAAAAGCAACTTCTGAATAATTTTAAGAAGTTACTTTCTAAAAATAATTTAATACCATAGATGAAAAAAGTGTTTTAAAAAGGTGGGATATGTGAATATATCATAAAATTTTAAAATAATATAATAATAAAAAAATTGCATGCAGGCCTTAAAAAAGTAAAAATTGCACTGCAGGCCCAAAGGCATTTGTTACAATTTTTCTTGAAAGCGAAAATATAATTTTGCTCTTATGTGATTTAAAAACTTAAATCATATATAATACAATATCATGGATGCATAGCAAATACCCATGCATATCTAATTAATCAGTAGGTTTAATAAAATATGCAAGTGACGCAGACAATATATAACACAGTGTCTATGGATGCACGATACGATGTTCATGCATTCTCAATTGACATTGTGTTGAAATTTCATGAACATTGTGTTGAGAATACATGAACATTAAGTTATACACTCATGAATATTATGTTGTATATGCTTTGCATGACTTGTATATTTTAAATAAATTATATATATCAACTGAATAGGCCTGGATATTGTGTTGAGAATTTATAAACATTGCGTTGTGTACTCATAGACATTGTGTTGTTCTTACCCTGTACAATTTGTATATTTTAACCTATAGATTAACTAGACATGTATGAATATCGTGTTAAGAATTCATGAATATCATGTTAAGAATTCATGAATATTATGTTGTGTTTCATAAATGAGGGTTTTGCATGAACATTGTATTTTGTGTAGGTTGAGTTTTCAAATTACATCAAGTCAAAATTATACTTTTTTTCTTAAAAAATTGTAAAAAATACCCTTAGGCCTACAATATAATTTTTTGGTTTTTTAGCGATTCTCTCTATAATAATTTTCAAACTTATATAAAATATATCATAAAATTACTCATTTTTTAATTTTAAACAAATGAGTCCAAATTTAAGAAAGTTAATTTCCAATTTTCAAACTTATTGTGCAACGTAAGAACTGAGAGAATAATTTTACTCAGATTATTTAAGAGTTTATTGTAAATTTTAAATATATAAAATTTTTCAGTATTTGAATATCAATGAGGTTGTGTTTAGCAAAAAATATTAGTTCTTTATAATTTGATGAATTAAAATTTAAATTTTATCAAAACAAGTATATATATTTAATGCTTAAGTATATTTTCAATAAAATTGCCTTTAATAAAAATATACAATGAAATAATAAAAAATAAATTTGAATTCACAACATTCATTTCTATGTTCCTTTTCTTTTAATTATTTGTTAGGGAAAAACACAATTCCATTTACGGAGACTCATAGAGGTCAAATACATTGGATGAGAAGATGTTGCTTTCTTTTCAATTTCCACAACTTTTTGCTGAGCTACTTTTATTATTTTATTTTAAAGACAAATGCATGCATGCTTCTTTTTATGATGACGTTTCATAAATTCTCGTCATTTATTTATTTTTAATATAAATTCATTATCCCTCCGTCGGCACTATCTCAATTCGTGCTCTTGATGACCTCAAAACATTAAAGAATTACCGAAGAAAAGTAAAGTTAACTCAAAGAGTCATGAAAACCCCAACTAATGACCTTTTTTTTTTTTTTTATGACATAAATAAGGATATTCACAAAACGAATTAGGACATTTTTGTCTCATATTTTATCCCGTCTCATTTTTAAAGTTATCTATTTTATTAAAAGTTTGGATGAAATTAAGATAAAATTAAGACGTCCCGTTGTCTCGATAAATTAAATAATGTTAAAAAAATTTAAATAATAATATTTATTAAAATTTTAAATTATATAATTTATTAAGTTTAAAATTAAAACAATACAAATACATAAATTAAAATAATTTAAAAATTATTGAATTACATTAATCATAACTGTACATTATGATAATAATTATAAGTAATTTTTAGATTATAAGAGCAATAACAATAGGTAAATCAAGCACAATATTAAATCATTATTTTCTACTTTAGTTGAGATATGCTAAGATAATTACTTTTCTGAAAATAAAACAAGAAATACGATATAAATAAAAATTATTAAATTGATAGATATAAAAATAAATTGTATTAATATAATTAATATATTATAAAGAAAAATATTATCCTATTTACTCTAAATTATTAAAATTATTAATATAAAAAATTTTAGTTTTATATAAGAATTGTAAGTATTGAAATTATAATTAATATAATTAATATACATATAAATTATATTAATATAATTAATAAATTTAATATATATTTTTAAAATAAAAGAATAATATATATAATATTTAAGATGAGACTAGACGTCTTGATAGTAATTTTGTATCTTATTCCAAACTTTTTTTTTATCTCATCTCAATTATTTTTAAATTGAAATAAAATTTATTTTAATATAATCAAAATGATATTGAATTAATTAAAATACGTACAAGCTGAACAACCCTGACCACAGGTATCAATGAATAACAAAGTAATTGATTTTAAATTTGAATGCCAAGACCAATAAATTACAATTTTACCATTACTGTACATTAATAAGCTGACGTACTTAGATCCTCAGACCCCTACCTCCACTGGGTCCCACCCTGACCTCTGGGCTCTAGCACTAGCTCTCTTCTGCCCACTTCTTCCCTAGAAAAAGCCTATGTATTTTATTTTTTTTAATTAAACTTGTTTGTCCGGTTCACAATAATGAAATATTTTTATCTAACTTTTACTTTTTAAAAATTGTTGATATTAATAAAAATCACCTGCTCTTCTTGTACATTTCATTTATTGGATTTTTTTTTAAAAATAAAATTTTATTAATAAAATTTTTATTATTATCCTTCCTAATGTATCCTCTTTTTTGATTTTTTTAATAAATGAGTTATCAAAAAAAATATTTTTAAAATTATATATTTTTATTTTAAAAATAAATAGGTAAATTGTATTTAATAAATTTTATTGGTAGACATAATATTATTTTAAAGTATCACATAAAGAAATATAAAAATCTCATTAATTTTGAATATGGTTAATATATAATTTGAATCTTGAACTATAGATACATGAATTATTTAAATTTTAAATTTTTAGAAAATATATTTTAAACCTTAAATGATTAAAGTCGCAGCATTTTTATGCCTACCGTTAAATTTTAACAAAAGTTTATTAAAATAGGACTTAATGTGTGATTTTCATTAAATTACTCTCCTTTCTCTCATATTCTCATTTGATAAAAATCACACATCAAGCACCAGATTTTAAAAAATTAACAGACGTTCATTAAAGTTTAATGGTGGGGGATGAAATTACTTCAATTTTAATTATTTAAAATTTAAAATATACTTTTTAAAAGTTTATGATTTAAATTTTCCTTAAATTTATAATTCAGAATTCAAATTATATATTATTCCTTTTGAATATTTTTTAAAAGTTTTAATTCATTAATTAAACAATAAAAATAATTTATATTTTTAAGTATAATATCTGTAAATTTTTTGCTTGGACATCCTAACTTTTTAATCCACTCTAATTTTGCCAATGGCTTGCAAGCAGTATATCACTGGAGACATAACTCCCACTGAAAGTTAATCAGTGTTGCATGTTCATGGCCCCATCCACTAATTAAGATAAACCAACACCTAAACGGTTAATCAAATTGTTATTAGAAAAAATATTATTTTTAAATCAGAGCGATATACACTAATAATTTGGAGTTACAAACTGGATTAACCCGCCATCTTCTAAAACTGAACTACAAAGCCATTCAGACTTGGAAAAAAAATCTTATGAAGGGAGTACCCCCCAGGTCCCCACCACCATCATGCTTCACTATATTTTATCACAATAAGTCCCTTGTATTCAGATACTGACTCCTCTAACTCTGAACATGATGTCATCATTTCCCCTCACTTCTTCCCAATCACGTCCGTCCATTCTCATCCGACGGCCATGATTGCCTGAAATGTTCCTGATAGGGACCCACGTGGTTTTATTCGAACTTGCTCTGAAATGCATGGTTCCATAGGGATTGTGGATGATACATATCCAGAGTGAGGTCAAATCGGTCATTTCACTTCCTCTCTGCGGACACAGAGTTCTGGACTTCGACGTCGCTATCGTTTAGACCGCCACGTCACGACACTTCAGAAGAACCTCACAGTTTGGCACAGTTGACGAAATTTTACACCCAATCACGATCCGCCACGTGGACGGCTACCAAAATGACAACTCCCTCACAGCTGTACCTTCTTCCTCGGTATATAAATAGGCCATGTCTTCGTTCGTCTTCATTGTGCTCTTTAGATAAATCTTTCCCCATACATTTCTGTTTCCTCTGAGTTTCTCCTTAAAAATGTCTCTCATTTACCATAATGCCATCCTCTTCTTCACTGTGTTTTGGCTGTGGCTTGTGGCTGAGGGGGCTTTGGTTCAGCAACAACCCTTGGTGCTCAAGTACCACAACGGCGAGCTTCTGAAGGGGAGGATCACTGTTAATTTGGTCTGGTACGGTTCGTTTACTCCCATCCAACGGTCCATCATCGTGGACTTTATCGAATCCTTAAACTCCCCGAAGGCGCCGCTTCCCTCGGCGGCCACGTGGTGGGGCACCACCGGGAAGTACAAGGGCGGATCCTCTGCGCTCGTCGTAGGGAAGCAGTATCTTCACGAGACCTATTCTCTCGGGAAGTTCCTCAGGTCCAGACACTTGCAAGCGTTGGCGTCCAAGTTCAATGACCTCGACTCCATCACCGTCGTCCTCACCGCCAAGGACGTTGCCGTCGACGGGTTCTGCGTCAGCCGGTGTGGCACTCACAGGGCGATCCCGCCCGTGGGAGGTAAACCTCGCAGAGCCTATATCTGGGTCGGGAATCCTGAGACTCAATGTCCGGGTCAGTGCGCGTGGCCTTTCCATCAGCCCATTTACGGCCCCAGACTCCGCCGCTGGTGGCGCCGAACGGTGACGTCGGTGTTGACGGAATGATTATCAACTTGGCCACTTTGCTAGCCGGCACCGTGACGAACCCCTTCAACAATGGCTACTTCCAAGGTCCGGCTACGGCGCCACTCGAGGCCGTATCTGCTTGCACCGGGGCGTTTGGGAGTGGGTCGTACCCGGGATATCCGGGTCGGGTCCTGGCGGATAAGACAACCGGGGCGAGCTACAATGCGCACGGCGTGAACGGCAGGAAATACTTGCTTCCGGCGATGTGGGATCCGCAGAGTTCGGCGTGCAAGACGCTCGTGTGAGATGATGGGAATGGCTTAGTTTACACGTGGCGGAGTATGATGGAGCGGGTGTAGATATGGATTGGTAGGAACGGTGCAGGAGATGATGAATGAAAGGGAGGGAAAGCAAAAGCTGCAATGAGACATGTAGCAGTTTGTTTTTATTGTTCATAGGTCTTTGAAGTTTGGATCAGTGTTTGTCATTAAGTGTGACGTGTAAATTGTAAGGTTCTAAATGGAGGAATATCATGTTAAAAATATGCAAAATGAGTATTAAATAACAAATTATCATCATTAATGCTTGGTTCACGTTGCTGTCAAGCAATTTCTTTTTCTTTGGAAGGTGAAAAGAAGATTCAGAAATTGCAGTTAAAGAAAAAAAAAAAAAGGGACTTTGAATTTTTTTTCTAGAGAAGATCACTGCCAGGTACAGTAAATGATGGGAAAACTGATTCATCTGAATAAAGAAAAGCCAAATTGATTGCCTTTATGTTTGAATTGAAAGGGTTTGGTGGGTAACGTTAACCTTTTTACTATTTAGATAGGATAAAGGTGAAATCTTTCGAATCACAAGTTGGCGTGTGTAGGTGTCTTGAAGATACTTTTTCTGCATATTTCATCATGTGTAATTCATGTGTCAAACACAAAAAAAAAAAAGTTGTCCACTTGATGAATTATTATCATTATTTCTGACAAATCACCTGATGCATTACCAAGTTGCTTTTCTTGGGCTGAAAAGAAAGTCACCTTTTACTTGAATGAATCATGTTATTTTTTTCGTACCGTCTAGATACTCCCTACTACCAATGTCGTAGCAGTTCCAAGACTTTTAAAACCACTAATTAAGTTTACTGAGACAACTTCCTGAGGTGAATGGAGATTCGTCAAACAAAGTTACTCTTACTTCGGGGCACGAAAAGAAGTTACCTTTCTCTAAGATACTCATGCTTCCTTTCAAGGGGGTGCTTGTCCCCTTAAATGCATCCCTGAAATGATCCTCGACTAATTCGAATTGTGCTGAGACACGACCTTCTTGGGCAAAAACTTCAACAAAGCAATTTTGCATTTCCAGAACTTAAACTCTAAATCTCTAATTAAGCTAATATAACTGGATTGTGATTTGAACCAACAACCAAGATGTTTCTTAACTTGTTTTCAAGATGAGAATTGATGGTGCACTCATGAATGAAACTGCCAAACTGGCGCTTATTTACTCTTTATTGCATTGCAGAAACAAATAAATACACCAGGGACCAATATTTTATCATTATTATAATTCAATGTTTTTTTTTGTGGGGTTAATTAGAGAGAGAGGCGAGAGAGTGTAGAGAGGCAAGCCTTGATCTGCGAAGCCTCTGAGAAATCTTAAAAGCGAGTTCAAGAGACTGTGAAGCATTGAGCCTGGGATCACAGTGAGTGTGGTAACGTGAGGTCAAGTCATCATAAGTAACAGTTCTTGAACCTCCCACGCATTCTGTCACATTCTGACCTGTCATTTCTAGATGAACTCCTCCTGGATAGCTTCCTTCTTCTTCATGCACATCAAAAAATGCTCTCAGCTCACCCTATCACAAATGTCAGATATTAGCACCAAAACTTCAAGCTTTATTGGTGAAATAGCTTTGAAGATAAACAACAGTCAGCTAAGGCAAACAATGACTTTCGCGCAAAGGCATTCCACTGGATGAGGAAATCCCACATTCTCAAAACTGGACCGGTTAAGACAGTAGCTTAAGAGTTAGTGATCTAACTATTGTTGAACTGGAGTGGCCATTATGATTAAAATAATATAATTTAATTAAAATATACAAATATATATATATATATATATATCCCTAAATTGAGTAATATTAATAGATAGGGAGAATGACAACGGATGATCTCATAAGAAAATTAATGGCAAATCAAGAGGTCATCATGACTTGGGTTCCTAACTTCAGTACCTATCTTCCCATGTTTTAGCACTGAAAATATTTTAAAAATCTTGATTTGGAATTAACCTTTTCAGAAGGTCCATAGTTGTCTTGACACAATGGGAGAAAAAATATAAAATCTAATCCAGTCAACTTGTCGAAAATTCCTGACCAGACCGATTACAGGATTGGTTCGTCAATTCATCGATTTGACCAACCAACCCGTGCTGGGTCTGATACCGTGGAACATAAACAAATAAACAAGGAAAGGAAGAAAATATATATATATATATATATAGAGAGAGAGAGAGAGAGAGAGAGAGAAGATTACCCTTATATCATCAAAAGAGCGAGTTTTGAGTCCAGATGGAGCTTTGATGGTGTTTCCATGCATGGGATCACTGACCCAAGTGACAATTTGACCTGCTCTGCGAACTGCCCTGATTAGATGTGGGAGTTTCATTCTCAGATTCTCGGCTCCCATCCTTACTATCACTGTTATTCTTCCAGCCTTGTTCTTTGGATTCAATATATCTATCAGCTTCACCAGTTCATCTGGATCCATCTTATTGCTCACCTGAACAGGGAGGGGGGGGGGGAAACGTATTCCTTCAGCAGCTGTCCTTTTTGCTTTTTTCAGACAACCAACTTGAACCAACTCTGATCTGGATGTTCTAAAGCTAAAAGCTCGAAAAGAAACTTTGATTTGGATCTTCCAAAGTTAAAAGCTTGTAAAACAATAAAAATAAAAAGGTAGAGAATAAAAGGACTAAGCCCCATACACTAAGATACATCCAATTTTAAATGATCCAAATTCTCAGCTTGGAGTAGCTTTTAATTTTAGTTGTAGGATCTTCCAATTTTAGTGCCTGTTTGGTTCATTGAATTGGATGTAATGTAATGGAATGTAAAGGTAAGGAATGAAATGGAATGGAATGATGTTTACATGAGTTTGTTTGGTATGGTATAATGAGGAGTGAAAATAAATTTATTTTTTATATTTAATTTAATATGAATATAGATTAAAAAGGCTAAATTAACCTTACTGCCTTCCCCTCTCTCACCTGCTTCTTCCTCCCTGCTGACATCCATCCATTTTTCTTACTCACTCTCCACCCATTTCTTTCACTTCACTCCTCCTCTTAATGGATAAAAAACGAAAGCTCTTCCAACCTTTTTTTCCTATAGCAAAAAATAACCAATTCAAATAGGTAGCCATTGTCCTCACTTGCGTCACAGTTTATCATCACAAATTTCATCACAGGTGGAGGTGGGATGCAGACTTAGGTTTAGCGTTGGGGACTTGGTGCAAATCTGGTGTCGACGATAAAGGGGAGGACAGAAATCTAGGTTCAGGGTTGGGGGTTTGGTGCGGATCTAGTACCAACAATAAAGGGTGCCATAGCTCCGTCAACAGTGGTGGACACTGGACAAGGTGGGTGGCGTTCGACTTTGATGAAGATAAAGATGAAGATGAAGCAAGGGTACAACTGTCATTTACAACAATGTAATCCCCATTACATTGGCCTGTTGATGTAATCCTGATTACAATATGAGGTAATGCTAAAGTCATCACGTAATCCTCATTACTTGGCATTGCCCAACCAAACACCATGAATGGAGGGAATGCATCAGGATTAGAAGTAATCCTGCTGCAGGGCAACGAACCAAACGGGCTATTAGCTTCTTTGAAATGAAAGGCTTACATTGTGTCCCTGAAGTCGGAAGTACTTCAAGTTCAAAGATTCAAATTCTCAATTCGAAGCACATGCTATGGACACAGAGGTTACTAAGAGATGACTACAACTAAATCACTCAATAAATCAGGCACAAAAGTATTATGATGAACTGATGATATAAAGGTAGAAAGTCTCAAGAACTCGACACCAAGGATACAAACCTTGATGCCAAGTGGATTAGCAACTCCTCTCAAGAACTCAACATGAGCACCATCAAGTTGTCGAGTGCGTTCTCCAACCCATAGCATGTGAGCTGAGCAGTCATAATGAAGCCCTGTAGTAGAATCTTCCCTAGTAAGTGATTGCTCATAAGGCAAAAGCAAACACTCATGGGAGGTCCAAAACTCTGTCATGGTCATGATTGGATGCTCATCTGTCAATCCTGCAGCGTTCATGAAGCCAATGGCTTCATCCACTCGGCGAGCCAATTCACGGTACCTGTTAAAATAACCAGGATGAGCAGATGGACTAGAAGCTGAAAACTTCTTGAGGAAACAACTTTAAGCATCAAAAGGTTCCAATTACTATGAAAACATCAAAATGATCCTATAATGTTCTGCAGAAAAACACCAAGAGTGTATATTTTCAAGCTATTGTAACTGTATCTATTGGATTTTTATGAAATCCAATCTTGATTCACTTCATTTCTGAACTTTTGGATATGTGCCAAGGAGTGTATCTCCAATAACAGTCATGCCATTTTACTCGAAGATTCAAAGCAGGATAAAATCATTATTGTCAGTTCATTCAGAAGCAGAAACAGAAACAAGGAAAATGATAAAGAAATACTCTTAATTTCAATTCATCCCCTGTAGTCTTTCACTATCCTTCATGTCAGACATAAAGAAATTGATTCAATACTCAAAAGGAAGCAAGGCATGGATACTAAAACATGAAGACTTGTATTTAACCCAAACAACAAACAGATATGAAACAAATTACAGATAAGAATAGAAAACGTGCCTGTCCCCGTGCTCATTGTGGTCCATGAAATCTAGATTCCATTGGCTGACCCTTTGCATGGCAGCATACCCTCCTGTGGAAAAGGCCCTTAGAAGATTCAGAGTAGCAACAGATTGACAGTAAGCTCTAACCATTCTCTGTGGGTCTGGAACTCTTGATGCTGCCAGAAATGCATCACCATTCACAACATCACCCCTATAGCTTGGCATCCTCACTCCATCCCTCTCCTCATACGGCTCTGATCTTGGCTTTGCAAATTGACCTGCCATTCTTCCAACCTACGTCAACAATTGAAGTATCTATGTCAATCCCATTCACCACACCCGCGCACACACACACACACGCACGCACGCACACATCCAAATCATTGCTCAATTGGGACTACAAAACATCAGTTTCCAACACTGCTTTACTAATACTTATAGTCCAGATTGAGAGGTTTAAAGTTTCAAACAATTCAACTAGAGTGAAAATCTGAACAACCCCAGAATGGCTCACTAATCCACTTACACTAACAACAATATCAAGTTTCAATAATCCACTGGGAAGAAATTTCCAATTCCAGCATTCTTGGAATTGCTCCAAATGAATATAAGAGAGAGGGAGAGAGAGAAGTTAAGAGACCTTTATTATAGGCATTTGGGCACCGAACATTAAAACGACACTCATTTGAAGCATAACACGAAAGGTATCACGAATGTAGTTAGCATTGAACTCCTTGAAGCTCTCGGCGCAATCCCCACCCTGAAGGAGAAAAGCGTTTCCCATGGCGGCCTGGGCGAGTTTATCCTCGAGGCTCCTCACCTCTCCGGCGAACACAATGGGAGGGTAAGATTCAAGGGTTTTGAGGACTTGATCGAGTTCATTGTGATCCGGGTATTCCGGAAGCTGAAGAGCCTTCTTGGTCTTCCAACTATCAAGAGTCCATTTGGTGTGAATTGAGGCGGTCGACGCGATGGAAGGGACGGTTGATTTCGACGCCTCAGTAGAATTCGCGACTATACTGAACCTACCGCCGGCCGCCGGCGGGAGGAGGCGGAATGTCGGGGAAGGAGATGAAGGAAAGGAGTGGCGAGCAGGATTACAGGTTATGAGAGACGAAGAAGAAGCGAGAGCCATGTCAAAACACAGCTATGGCGAACAGAAGGATGTCGACGTGAAAGGTAGAAACTTTGTATTTGAGAATTTGTTTATTGTGATTTATTTGAAGAAATCAAAACCCAAAAGTGCATGAAAGCACACAAAATGCCAAAATGGTATGAGGAATCTATATATACAGTATACACAATCTCCTGCTGAATCAGATCTTTGCCATTTCGACAGATGCTAATTTTTTGTAGCATATTAAATTATTGGAGAGCTCGTGAACAAAAAAAAGTTATATGTATAATAATTTTTTTAAAACCTCACCCGAACAAATTTTAAAAGTTTGTTGTATAATAGAATATTTTTCTCATCACTGAGAATTTCAACGCCTACATCTACACAAATGGCATAATTAACTTCAGAAGTGGCAAGAAATTAAATCGGTCAAAGATAAAATTGCAAGAAAAGAAAAAAATAATAAATATAATAACTGGTTCGTATATTTTATTTAAAAATTATAAACTCGCCTATAATTTTACTTGATACATAATTAAGCACATTTGAAAGTCCTATTGAAGATACACTTGTTATAAGCGGAGTCTACAATGATATGTTTATAAATACACATACATACATACATACATACATATTAACTCGTATATTCTAATTACTTATTGGATTTCATTTAATTCATGCAATCCCTTGATGTAAAGGAGTAGCATTTGGATTTGCCATGATCTGAATGCTTGTCTTAGGAGGCCCAGAAAGCAAAGAAGCAAGAGCAGGCTTCATCTTCTCCTTCCCTTTGATGATCGCCAAAAACACAACTCTGTACAAAACAATCATGCCCAAAAGAATCCAAAGATCAACCCACTTTGAATAGGTCATGTCTACTTCCCATTTGCTTCTTAGGATCTCTTCCCCACTTACACTCCCAAACCTAAGTCCCTGAAACTCATTCTTGAACATGCCTTGGAAGGCATATCTATGGAAGGCGACGTAAGAAAGAGGGTACTTCCAGAAGATTCTAGGGAGGTCATTGGGGAGTCTAAAGAAGCCTCCTGCAAGCATCATGATGCCTTGAATACCAGCACCAGTTATGATTCCCATGAGGAAGTTAGGAACGACGCTAGCCACTATCATCATGAGGCTCTCAACCAGCATGAGACACGCAAAAAGGATGCAACAGAAGCAGACGAAGTGTTCAGCGGATTTCTGAAGGCCAGGAAGGTAGTAGGCTATGGCTCCAGGAATGAGAGTAACGAGTAACAAGCAAGGGATTGAAGATAATGTGTTTCCTATCACATAGGTTGTCACTCCGTAGTGTCCATTTAACCTTTCTCTCTGAAATACCTATATATATATATATATCAGTAGAAATGGACAATTATTACAGTGACTATACATTCATATCTTGTTAAATGATAAAGATGAGAACATATACAAACCTTCATGTCCTCCACAAAAGAAGGGAATCCACCAATGGTCATGAAAGTTAAGAATGAAGACACAAACATGAGAAGGGCACCTCTATCCTGAAATAAGCATAGATTATATATATGTATAGATATAATCATGGACATGCGTATCTTTAAGTCTCATTTTGTCCTGATATTTTTTCTCACCTGAATGGATCCTATGCTCATGCCCAAGTCATAGAACACAGTGGACAAACCTAGAGCAACGCCCATGTATATGACAAGGCGTAACCAGTAATAGCCTACATCGCGACGCATGTTCACAAGTGATCTCTTCGTAAGAACAACACACTGAGTATGGAAGCTTGCATGCCCTCTCTTCCTCTTCTTCATCTTCTCCGCCATTCCACTTTCCTGTAAACCACACCTCCGTATTATATATAAATTACTCATCCACTTTCTTTATTGTGAAGGGAGCCAACTGGTTATGTAGTTCTGTAATCATTGGTTATATATAGTCATCTTCATGTGATAGATATCTGTGCACGCACCTATGTGGATCCAACAAATATATACCTGTGTAGTCAGTGCTGCTACTTCTGCTTGAACTTGTTTGTTCAAATCAGAAGACTTGTATGACTTCACAAGAATTTCAATTGCCTCTTCTGTAGGCTTCCTTTGAGTTCCACTTAAACCGAGTTCAATGTCCTGATAAACCAATAAGAATCTCAATTAATCAAAATTGGAGTTCAACTGCATGATTAGTACTGTGTATGTATGGTGTTTGAGTGTAGTGCATAAAGCATACCTGATAATCAAAATCCTTGTTTATAGTTTTCAGGAAATGATCAGATGGATTTTGGAGAGCTGGACAAGGAAAGCCATTTGAAGTAAAGAACTGCAAATCAAGGGGACGTTATATACGTACATACATACATACATGATAGTCACGCGCACACATGATATTTAGGCATGAGTATGCTTACCAACAGACATAGATCCAAACCCTTGTATCAGTACAGAACAAGCACACAAGACTTGAACATAAAGTAGACTGAACAATTGAACATATGATGATATATCTACACACACACACACACACACACACAGATCAAAACAGTAACCTCAGTTGCAGCAGAAGCAGGACCAAAGAACAAAGTTTTTCCTGAAGAAAGAAGACAAAGATTATCAAAGAGTTGAAACACTTCAGTACTAGGCTGATGAATGGAAGCAATAATGGTCCTTTGAATCCCATCCTTTCGATCAAGGCTTGCGATTCTGCTCATAACATAGTACGAGGCTGCACTGTCAAGTCCACTGGTTGGTTCATCGAGGAAGAGAAGTCTCGGACGTGTGAGGATCTCAATGCAGATACTGACTCTTCTCTTCTGGCCTCCACTGATTCCCTTGCAACCCCAACCACCAATTCTGGTGTTAATGGCGTCTTGCAGACCCATTTCTCTTATAGTGAACTCTGCTCTCTCCTTTTTCTCTTCCTTTGACATTGTGTCTGGTAGTTGAAGCTGAGCTGAGTAGTACACTGCTTCTCCCACAGTTAGGGTTGTGAGTAAAGTGTCATCTTGTGTCACATATGCCTGAAATCAAAGGTGGTAATAATAAATCATTTCTTAAAGTTTAGACTAATAATTATAGTAATATTATCCTTAAGTCTGGAGGCATGTGCTAATTCTAGTTAATTCTTAGATCTAACTCATTTAATTTTTTTTTTGGCTGTAATAAAAAGATATAGTAACACTTTAAAACAAGAGAAATTGAATTACTAACAAATCATACATGCTTAATTAATGAATGAAAAATTAAAGGTCTACACATATAGGTACCGAGGTCCCATAAGCCAGTGCTTGTTTGTGGCCATTAATAAGAATCTCTCCTGTTTGCTTTGTGTTTGAACCTAACCTCCCTGCAATATGTAATTCATGTCATAATTTCCTTCAGTTGAATTAGTTATAGAAGGAACTAAATTAAAAAAAAAAAACTCATGGAGACCAATGAAATATGGGACAATGATGGATAAATCCTTTTGAAATAGGCAAATAACAATTTGGTGTGATAATGACAGTAAGGTTCCAAGGAACTTTTTTGAGATTAAATTTGTGCGTGAAATTACTGCAGCATTCCTCTACAATTAATTTTATATGGTTCACAAATTTGATTCTATCAATAATTAAAACAATTTAGGAAATCACAATTTTATATCAGTAATGTTTTCAATAAGCAAAGTCCAATTAATTTTATATTGTTCATAAGTTTGGTATAAGTATTTGTAAGTTTGATTTTACTAATAACTAAAATGATTTAGAAAATCACAATTTTCTATCAACAAAATTGAACTAATTTTATATGGTTTACAAGTTTGGTATAAATATTTACAAGTTTAATTTCACCAATGACTAACATAATTTAGCAAATCACAACTTTTTAAATTGTAGAGGGGTAATAAAGTAACTTTACATATAAATTTATTAGACCAAATTGTCACTTTTCTGATTTCAGAGGGATTTATCTATCCTTCTTCCATAAAATATCTCATGTTTTAAATATAGTAAATTTTATAATAAAATCATATTAGCATCTGAAGTGTTGGGAGTATTATTATATGGGTTCACTTTTAGTGATTGGATTGTGGTTGAATTGATCATAATTAAACTAATCTATATATTTTAAATTAAGAATATATTAACTATTTTGAATAAATATTTTATAATTTAAAAAATAATATAATTATGATATGTTAGATATTTATAACGTATATAATTATTTTCTAAATTTTTTTTATTTTTCAAGATCATTAATCTATTATTCTTCATTCCCCAGTACGTCTACTTATGTACAGATACAGAGAGTTATTAGTCATAACTTAAAAACATGTTTTAAATTTAAAAGCACAATATTCTGGCAAAAAAAAAAATTAAAGCGCAATAAAGAATGGGATGAATTGATTAACGGCCTGTTTGGTTTCTATTATCATTTTTTTATTTTTAAAAATATTTTATAATATAGTTTTTAAAATTATTTTTAAAACAAAATAAAATGAAAATAGTTTTGGAGTTAAAAATTAGACTAGTAGTGATGGTTATAAGTATTTAATAATAGTGACTAATAATAAAAATTGGTTAAGATAACTATAATTTTTAATAATTAAATATAGTGTATTTTAAAAATAAGAAAAGCAAAATGAAAATAACTTAAGTGCCTGTTTGTTTTTATTCTTTAAAAGCTATTTTTTGTTTTTAAAAATAAAAAATAAAAAATTTTATTTAGATAGGTGTTTTTCATTTAGTTATTTTTAAAAATATTTTCATTTTTTTAAAATAGAAACAGCTTTAAGTTGTTTTTGTTTTATTTTTCTTGTTTTTAAAATATATATTTGATTATTAAAAATTATAATTACCTTGAATAATTTCTATTATTAATTATTACCATTAACAAGTTATAATTATCACTATCAGTCTTTTTTTTTTAAGTTTTAAAACTGTTTTTTAAATTGACATAGCCAAATAAATTTTTATTTTATTTTATTTTAAAAATAATTTTAAAAAATATATTACAAAATATTTTTAAAAAACAAAAACGAGAACAGAAAGCAAATAGACTCTTAAAGCTGTTTCTAATTTTTATTTTTAAAAATAAAAATGAAAAGCGTTTTGAAAATAACTAAATAAAAAATACTTATCCAAACAAATTTTTTTATTTTTTATTTAAAAAAACAAAATACAGTTTTTAAAAACAGAATACAAACAAACCCTAAACCATCTATTTCTAAATTTTGAATTTTTTTATAGCATTTCACTGACCCACAATTTTTTTTTTTTAAGATCAATTGGTTACTTGATTTGGTCTAGCAATCATTTAACATATGCTTTCTCTCCAAGAATTTGGAGTTCAAGTGACATCTAATCCCATAAGACAGCAAGAGCGCCTCTATGTGAGAAAGGGTTAGATATGGTAGAAAAAAAATATAACGTTTTCTCAGCTGCAATTTATAATATGTTTTTTGTTTTGGTAAAATTTTGAATAAATAAAGTCAATTAAATAGAGTTTGGAATCTTAATTTTTCCCAAAAAAAATTTCAAAAATAAGCTTTTAATTTAATAATAAAAAATATTAAAAGTGATATTTTACACCAAAACTATGATAATTTTGTAAGGAAGAATGATAAAAAGGTCCCAAAAAGATTAATTAATTTAATTTAGGTCACAAGTGTCAAACTTTAAAAATTTGTAACTCAATATTTCAATTCTATAACTGCGTTATGATGAATTCGTAACTTGTTTTTTAAATTTTAACATGCTTAAAAAATAAAAAAAATTATTTTTTTATTAAAATTTAAAATATAAGTTATAAATTTATCACAATGAGGTTGTAAAATTACGAAATTAAGTTGTAAATTTTTAAAATTTGACATTTAAAATCTAACTTGAATTAATTGATTTTGTTGAGACCTCTCTGTTATGCTCTCAATTTTGTAATGAAAATAAAATAACATAATTTTGTTATAAAAAAAAGAAAAAAAAAACTCTGATCTTTTTACGTTGAAACAGATAATATGATAATGAATGAAAAATTACATTTACCTGCTAAAGCATCAAGAAGAGTGGACTTGCCACAACCAGAAGGACCCATGATGGCCAAGAGCTGACCAGGCTTTGCATAACCACTGAGACCTTCAAGTATTGTTCTGCTTCCATCCATCCCTTTCTTCTTCTTCTTCTTCCCACTTGAAGAAGAAGAAGAAGCTGACGTCACCCACACATCCTTCCACGTCAGCCACATCCCCATCTCGTTATCATCCATCTTCTTCTTCCTTGCTGGACCACCGCTTGGTGCTCCTTCCACATCTAACGTCGTCGTTTCGATCTCTAGCCCTCTTCCAACAACCCTAAAGCTGTCGTTGGCTTCATATTCACAAGCTGTGGTTGGAGGATGAAGGGAAGCCATTGTTGGGAACGAGAGAGAGAGAGAGAGAGAGAGAGAGAGAGAGAGAGAGAGAGAGAGAGATTTAGAGTTTGAATATGCAGTGGCTTCTAATTAATGATATGATGATACTTAGCCCTTTAGGAGACAGGCAATATTTATAGGCCTCTTTGCACTGTGCATATACATCAACAAGTTTTTCATGCTCCTTCCATATCTATTTAAATGAGAGAAAAACTATCCACAAAGTTAAAAAAATTAGTTAATTATATTAATTATGTTTTAAAATAAAAAAATTGAACGATAATACTCTTTATTAACTATATTAATCAAGCCTTCATTAATTATTTTTTATGACTATAAATGATAAAATTATGAGGGGTAATTTAAAAAGTTTGCAATAAATGCTATTAAAAAAATGTAATTTTACTTATATAAAAAATAAATTAAAAGTAATAGTTTCTCTTATAAATAAAAATAAAGGGAGTAGTTATGTTTATTTATATTAATTATTTAATTTATTGTGTTTGATATTTTAATAAAGTGAATATATTATTGAATATCTTTATATGGTTATTCGATTGGGTAAGATTCAAACATTATTGACCCAAATAAGGGGCAATTCTTTCAAATGTATTTTGTGCATTCATATTCTTATTAAGATAAATGAATATTCAAATTTTAACTTATCACATTATAAAAGATTGATTATTTATACTAAATCCAACATCTGTTGATCAACTAATCATTTTATTAATAAGAGACAAACTCTAAAGCTCTCATTTGTGCTTTTTAAGCTTAGCTTGCCACTATCAATTCAAAAAAGTATTTGGTTTCCCTTATTGTAATCTTCTCATAGGCTTGTATTGGAGCGTTAAAATTTTTTTCCATGTAAGCCACCTATTGGACTACTCCCTTTTGTTTCATTTATAAATCAAATTCTAAAATATTTATTTATAAGTTACAGTGTAATTTTTTAGATAATATTTAAAAAATATTTTTAAAATTGCTCTTCATGAAAAAGAAAAGTAACATAACATCACTTTTTTTATTTGTTATATATGAGTATATTTAAAATTCTACACACTTTTATTTCTTATACTTTTTTTATATTGATATTGATAAAGTCGGTAGAAATAACTTATAAAAAAGACTAGAAGAGTATGATGTAGTGGTAGTTAGTATTTAATTTCCTTTTTTCCCCCAAAATTATAAGGTACTTTTAATCAACCTCCATTCCCAATATAACAATTCACATTGTTAAAAAAAATGCCTACTTTTTTCAAATCCACTCTTATTTAATAGGGTAACTTAATCAAAAATAAATACGAAAATATCATTAATCTCATATATTCATTAAGGGGACAATTTAAAAAAATTCATTAATTACACCTGAAAAAAATAATATGTCGTGTATTTTTAGATATGGAATCTTATATTTAAAAAATGCCTTATAATTTTTAATAACTTGTAAGAGAAGGCAGACATTAATATGATAATAAGATTTATTGTAATTAATAATGGTAATGTTGAAAATTACTTCAGTTTTTTTTACAAATTTAATACTTGGAATGGTCTTTAACTAATTTTTATTATTATAAATGAATTAGTTAAAAATGACTCATATTAAAGATCGGAAGAAGTACAATTTTTCATTTCAACTCACAAGATTAATAAACAAAAGCACTAATAAACGGCAAGCTTTCCCAGTGCTACCTCCTTAAGTTGAAATATAGCATTGACGTACTTTGTGTATGTGTTTAGGTGTATGAATCTCCCTTTCTAGTGAGAAAGAATTAGGTTAATTAGGGATAAAATTAATCATAACCTTAAGTCAAGCTTGAATTAATAACCAAGCACTAAAGTCAAGCTTGAATTAGGATAATCCCTCCCCATTTCATTTATTGTCATTGAATTATATTTATAATTTGTCCCCTTTATTATGAATAGTTCAATAAATGATAGATGGAGACGGATATATAGCTCTAGTGGTTAGTGCTGTGTTGTTTTCTGGACTTTCTCGTAATCACTCTCCCGTGTATTAATATATTCGTGACTTGATATATTCAGTTATATCAATTTTATGGAGATCAATGAAATTATTTATATCTAATTTTTTTTCTTTTCTTTTTTCAAATCTCTACATGCCTAAATTCAGCTTTAAGAGACGTGAATAGTAATTTCGAAAGGCATACACCCTTGGGAGTCGTGATCACAATAGTAAGTCATAGTTAATTCACTGTTTACCAAAAACTTTAAATTTTTAAAAATATTTACATTTTTACATTTATATCTTTATTAAATATTATATATAAAAATTTTGATAATAATAATTAAAATTTTAATATATTATTTTTTAAAAAATAATAAATAAAGTCAGGGTATAGTTAAAAAAAATAAATGTAAAATTCATTTAATATTATATATTTTAGATTAGGTAATATTTTTAAAAAATATTTTATATTGTAATTCGAAAATAGTATGTAATAACTTATTTTTGTAATGTCAAGAATTTTAATTTTTTTAAAAGAGCAACCATTCATTAATACTGAAAGTCAGATAAAAAGAGTGCAAATATTAATAGAAAAAACTATAAATTCCAATCCATGTTACAAGAAAAACATTTTTAAAATTTCAATTCCATTTTTATGCTATCAACTCCAGCATACCAATAACATCATATAAAAACTGTTACTTATACTTTCATTAAGTAAAATTCTTAAAATTGTTGCTATCAAAACTGGTGCCTAAAAAAAAAAATTGTTATATTGGCAGCCAGCGTTGCATCACTGTAGGCAATACTTCATTTATAAGTATAAAAAATAGGCAGAAAGAGTAGACTCTCTCAAGTGTGGACAGTAAGAATTATACTTCATTTATTTTCTTTGATTTGTAAGTATAAAAAGTAGACTCCCATATTTATTTAGCTGGCTTTGAAGTTATAACTCAATTTTTTTTTCATGCATGTTTTTTTTTCATGCTTTAGCTTGCTTGTCATTTTTTAACAACCATATATATATATATATGCTTTTATGTATTATTGACTACTTTAATTTTAATCATTATTGACTTTAAAATGATGATAATTATTCGGATATATTTTTTATAACATCCTAATTTTTAGATAAAAAAAATTTATGAAATTTAAGTTTTTTTTAAATGATGATAATAAGAGGAATTTATATTATTTGAGGTTATTTAAAAATAATAATATAGTTAGGCATTTAATTATGAATTAAAAACTTAAGTTTAAAATTATATAAGAAATATTTTGTTAAGATATAATTTTAAGATTTTAAAAAAATTATTATTAATGTGTGTGTGTGAGTTAAAAAGAAAAAAGAAAGAAAGGCACCTCCTCATGTATAAAAAGAAGAGGTGCATTGTGGAGGAAGTATGAGGAATTTTTTATTGCAATTTGTGAAAATTGCAACTAAGGGCTCAAGATGCAATTTGTGAAAATTGCAAGTAATGGCCTAAAGGTTTGAATAATTAAATTTAAACCTATATTTTTTTAATATAATTTTGGGACCACAATTTCATTTTTTATATTATTTTTCTCTCTTCCTCTCACATTGCTCTGCGTTTTCTTGTAAGGGGGGATTATTTTCTTTTTCTTCAGGTATGTTCTAACTTTCTTGTTTAGATTAGTATTTAAAAATTTATTTAATTACAAAATTAATTTTATAGTTATTTTCTAAATAATATTAGCTTTCTAGTGATATGATTATTTTGTAGGATAGAGTAAATATTCTGATTAAAATTTTTCTATATGATAGTTAATCTGATGATATGATGGATTAAAAATATAGATTAAAAACTCTTAGGGATATAATAAATATTATAAAATATTTTTTTAAGGTTGAAACTCATGTTTAAGAATTTTTGAGTTAAAATCTAGATCTATATGGTTGAATTTATGTGGAATCTGAGATGTAGGGATAAACCTATGATTATTAAATATTTATTTAAGTATGAATAGGTATTTTTGAGGTTATAGAAAGGTAATTTGAGGCTTTAGGATAATTCTAAAATTTTTAATTTGTTTTTAGACGAATTTTTAGAATATAGAAGGATGAAATTGTGATACGAGAAGTGATTTGAGGATAAAAAAAATAGTTTATTAGGGTATGAAAATTTTAGAAAAAGAATTTGGGAAGTTAAATGAGGCATAAATCTTAAATTAGTGTTAATATGGATTATAGATCTAAGACTTTCTAACTCTTTAAATTAGAGTTATTTATTTTAATGTAAAATTAATATATAGTATTGTGAAATAATTATGTAGATTATATTGACAAAGATAGTAGTGAAAAAGGAGTTGTGAAGGGGAACTTGTTATTCAAGACATAAGGTAACCATTATTAATGTGTTGTGATGGGTGTGTTTGTAAATGGTTATGTGTTGTTTTTATTGTTTGGAAAAATTATGAATTATTGAAAATAAATACTGTATATACTTGTTTGAAATTATTGCCAAGTGGGTTAAAAAAATTTATTTTTGTTTATCATGATGAGATATTATTGTTCGGATATATTTCTGTTTGGATATTTGAATGATGCATGACTTGTCAGGGTATTTTAATGTATGGTGTTAATGAAAATTTCTGTTCGGTTAATTATTACCACGTGATAAGCCCTCATTGGACCCAATGAGTGGCGTGTCGCTTGGTCCAACTCACCTTTGGCCGGGTGATTTGGCGTTCGAGTATGGTGAAAGGAGGATATAAGGTGCAGTCATGCAAATTAAATCCTTGTTCGGTTTGTTTGAAAATATTATTCGGTTAAATGTTTTGTATGCCCACTTAGCAATCGCATGATTAGTTACAACCGCATGCATCATTACATATTAATTTTTGGTTACTGGAACTTTTAAGTCTCATTCCCCGTGGTTAATATTTTTATAGGAGCGAGTTCGGCCGAGAAAGCACCAGAGGTGTAACTATGGTGTATGAGACACGATCTTTTACGTTGCCTCTTATTTTGAATTATACAATGTATCTTGT